TGGGCGCAGGTAGCGACGGGCGCCGCTCGGACGGGCGGTTGCCGCGGGCTGGTCGCTCTCCCCTAGCTCCGGGTAACAGGTGTTTCAGGTGGAAATCTCAGTCTACTGCCAGTTTGCAGTGAAAGAGTTGGAGTGTTCTTCAGTGAGCCTGTGCATAGGCAGTGCTCGCAGCTCAGCCCGCCCTGCTGCTGGCAGCTCCTTTGGCTGCCCCGGTGTATGCACAAGCCCCATCAGATGCACATCGAATCTCTGTGTCCAGGTTTTACTCCGAGGGATAGACTTGGTACCAAGTGCTAGAATGAGAGAGGATGATAATTCAGGAAGGTTACAGGGAAATGGCCCCTGCGAGCAGCAGGAGGAAAGGGAAAGGAAACCTACAAAAGCCTGTGCAGGGAAACAGCTTGGGAAATTTTCCCTTGCACAGCAGCGGAGAGAGTGTGGTGCAGCAGCGGAGAGAGGGCCAAAGGCAAGAAATAAAGATGGATAAATAGACATGGGTGGAGTGATAAAAAACAACTGCCAGTTACGATGACCTCAGTTGTGCTATATCATATCAGCCGTTTTTATGAAAGACGGAGCTGCAAGGATCATAGACAAAAGTGAGAATCACAGTCTAAATTTAACAAGGATACATTTTCTAACCCCTGCATTTGAGAAGCAGAGATCTGAGCTGAAAGCTAAATCGGAGAAGGAAACTTAACATTCTACCCTGTTTTCTGAAAACTAAGCTAAGGATTCTGTGAGTGCTTTTTTAATTAGCAGCTGTCTGTACAGCAAAAAGACAATTACAATGAATTCAGATTTAGATAGTTTTGATGGGAGAACTATTTACATGAGGATCAAACGAAGAGAGAAGGAGCTTCTAGGTGAACTAGCTAATATGATTTGAAATGCCTTGTAGTGATTAGTATAGAAACAGATGGGCATATTTAAAATCATGATGGGGAGGGGATTATTTTAGAAACTGGTTTACCGGCCAGTTTATGTCAGCTCATACGTCTTTGTCTTTTTATAAATCTTCACTAGAAATTACGGGATGAATAGATTTTAGCAACAAAGAATAGATTTAGGAGCCTAAACATCAGGTGTCATTTCATACACTGCCTTGTCTTCCAGCTACAGCTATGAGAGGCTGAAAATCTCCCATAGGACCCTGCCTAGACTACCTAGGATTGGTAAAATGTCCTTAGCTGCCTATGTTTAGGCACTGAGTGACTCCCAAAGCGTGTTTCCAACTTACTCTTCTCTTTGATCCTATGAAGTAATTGTTTGGTCCTCAGTGTTTTGTGCCTTTTCCTTGATGAGGCCACAAAAGCATTTTAAATGGGAGAACAGAATAATAAATATTGTTGTTTAAACTGACTTTTCATATTACTGTTTATTTTGTGAACATTAAAAAATACCATATTCATGACAATTTCACACTGCTGGAATGCTACTGTATAGTGTATGATTTGATCTTATGAACTGCAGCAAACCAAGAGTACCTTTCAGTTAAAAAATATGCTATTGGAACAACTCTGATTAGGTACTCTAAGTAAATGGATTACAAGATGACATGGAGTCTTATAAATGCTCCTTGCTGTCCATCAAATTCTGTCAGCAGTCAGCAGTTACTTGTAACTTGGCATGAACACATTGTGGAATTAAATTTAATTTGCAATATTATATATGTTTTTTTCTTTTTCTCTGATGGCTCTGCAGGATATCCTTCTACAAAAGCAAAAGAGCATACCCCTGAAAAGCAGCTCTGAAATTCTTCACAATCAAAATCCTATCCAGACAGCTGAAGAGCTTTGAAGTCCTTCATGAAAAGAGTTAAGAAAGTAAGTTTTTGTATAGTATTTCTCAAAACATTTGCTAACTAAGAATCAACTTTGCTTTGAGCAAAACAGTAAATTAGACATACCTTGCTGAAAGAGGGTTTTTGCGTCCTCCAAAATCTTTCTATGTAATTGGGATTAAAATGTGAGCACTTTGAGGAATCTTCTCTGACTTCACAGGGGGTTTGTGGAATAGAGAGGCCTGCCTGATGCAGGGGGATCTATCTGCTTAATTTGCAGATGTGCTCCTGGGAACTCAGTCTGCTGTGGCTAACTGGCTGCAACCGTTTTTGTTTTTCTTTCCTCTCTTGCCTTCAGATGGCATAACAAGGAACCCGACAGTCTCTTTAGAAGATTTAACTCTTCGAGGTAGACCCAGACAAGAGTGAAAGTATATGTCTGTTACTTAGATTGAAAATGATTTGCAGCTTGCACTCCTTTTTATTTTATTTCTACTTGTTGGTAAACTTGGCAAGCCCCTGATCTTTTTAGTTTTGATTTTTTCAGTGCCACTATAATAACAACAAAAAACTTAAGATAATTTTTGAGTTCAAAGAAAGCATAATTCCAATATCTAGTAAATGTTTTATGGATTGCTGTACTGCTTTCCCAGAAATTCTCACTGATAAGTAGCTTGTGACATTGAAATAGAACAAAGGAAATGACAAACGCATGCAACCCAATGAGTAAAGACTGAATAAAAGTCTAATCCAAAGTCCACTGAAGTCATTAGAAATGTTTTTTTTTTCCCTACTTCTATAGCCTTCTGATCAGACCTGAAAAGAATAGTAATACCTTCCACCTTTCTGTGGCATTTTCCATCAGTTTCACAGAGCTTATTTCCAACAAAAATAATTAGACTCCTAAGTCCTCTGGGAACATATCCTTTTGACAGCTAGCAGTGCAGGGCACAGAGGATAATTCACTTGCATTACATAACACAGCAAATAAATGGAAGAAGCTGGGAAAAACCTTGCTTTTCATAGCTCCCTGGTTTTGGTGTCCTGGCCTTACTTCACCTGTCCCTGAATTACAACATCTGCTGTGTAGTATTTTAGAAAGATCTCATCTTCCATTTGAAACTGCACTGAGAATATAAATAAGGAGATACAGAAATGAAATTTGATTAGTAAAGGAAAGCAATCATATCAAACATTTGTGGAAATTGTCTTGAGACCTTTAAAAACTGTAATGTCGATAGGATGTGGTGATGTGTCTCATGTGAAATACAGTAGCTTCAAGGCACTGTGTCCTATAACATTCATATGGGTCTATTACTGTATTACTGATACAAGGATAAGAGTAGACTCTATTTGCAGTGTTCAGAGCTAAAGAACTTCCATCAAATTTAAGGATGTTCGGATCAGATTTATTTCCATTTCTAGTAGTGCCTAGGTGATATTTGGCAGCTTCCTATCCAAGTGCCTGACATAGTGTGATTC